AAAAAAAAAAAAAAAAAAATTAAGCATTAAGATAGTACTTATCAACACTTCATTTCTAATAATGTGTTTACAATGTTTAAGAATATAAACACTCCTTGCAAGGAAGTAAGTAAAAACCAGCTGCAATGAATAATCTGACTTTTAATAGTGGGGGAACCCAGGAGCCAAAAGCAAGAACCCAAATTTCCCTGTGGGATTTAAATTATCTTACTATTTTTTAAAAAGTGAAGGAAAAAAACACCAAGAAATACAACTTTAAAAAAAATTCTCTAACAGTACCACACCCTGTATGACATTAAAAAAAAAAAGAAGATTACAAACTTTGGCAAACTACATAATATACTGAAACCTACACCCTCAACCCAATAAAAATTGTTTTGACAGCAAAGGGGAAAATAAACGCTTGTTTATTTTGCACACATTTCAAGAATATGCTATCCAATAGATGATATCAGATGTGTTTTAGATGGCATTTTATTACAAAGCCAAAGTGTTACATTATAAAGTAAAAATATTGCTCAATTCACTTTCTGGCAATGATTTGAAGTCATCATAGCCAGAAAATACTTAATTCTTAGGACCAAGCTAAGTCTTCAAAATTAAAATAAAAACAAAGTATTAAATGTGCCTAAATGCATAGGAAACAATTTGAATGTAACTATGCAACAGTAGGTTTTCTTCCTAATTTATAAACTGATGACTGTGTTCGTATCCTCATTAAATCGTTGTAGTTCCAACACCGATAGTTCTGATGTTGGAGACACATAGAAAGACGTTGATGTTACCATGTGATTTTAAAAGTTTACTAAAACCCATAGTATTTGCTCTTACAAACACATATATGACTTGGAACTACAGTTCTGACCAAAATTACAAACCTTAAATGTCCTTACAAACCTTAAATGTTTAGTAACTATGGGTTACTAAAACCCATAGTATTTGCTCTTACAAACACATATATGACTTGGAACTACAGTTCTGACCAAAATTACAAACCTTAAATTATGCAGATTAATATGTTAAAATTGAGCCCCGGAAACCCAAGTGAACTCTGAAGGTGTGTGTAAGGGCCATTTCCGTGAGACGAATTTCTGGACTCTAGAGATGGAGAACTGTTAGGATGGTCAGTGAGCCACAGAACTCTAGGGAATAAGAAGGGGAAAAGGTAGAGAAGCCCAAGCCCAGTATATACTGTATTTTCCAGTCTCTGCAGTTAACCAGGTTGCACAGAGAAAGCTGTGGCTGTGGGAATATGAAAATATTTGCTAACAAACTGACCCCTTGTAAAATTTGACCCCACTGAAACATTCCTGGCTGCATAATATGACCATCTAGACGGGCCCAGTATTTCAGCATCTTTGTTGTTTCATCTCCAATCAAATCAACCTACTAAACATCTTGAAAGCGCAATGTAAATACATCTTGAAAGCACAATGTAAATACACTGTTCATTCAATCCATAGTCCAGAAGTGATCTTGCAAAAGATACAGAATTTCATAAAATGGATGCAAGTTGTGGGACTTATGGGATAAATACACAAATCAAGTAGAATAGAAGTCAAATGTACAAATACATATGACTTGATTATTTTTCCTACAACCGAATGATTACAGCCAAAACAGTTCCTATAGCTCGTGACCACCCTCACATGGTTTAGGTATCCTTGGGGAGCGTCACACCCTAGGGCTAGACTCAAGGTCAGATGATGCTTGTGCGTTGATCATGTGTTGAACCCCCCACTCAGAATTCTTTAGATGTTTAAGTTCATTTGCTCAATAAATATGAGGAGGGACTTTCGACATTACGTTTGTGCTGCAATGCATTGAGTCCCCTGGCAGGCCTTTCAGATCTTCAGCGTTTCATCGCATCTCCCCAAAATTTGGGCGTAAGAGGGAGGGAGGAGCCGACAAGGGACCTGAAGCTCAGCAGGGAAGCTTCTGAAGGTCGTCGATCCAGTAAGACTCCCAGGAAAGCATACGTACAGACAGGATCAAGATGTCAGAGACACTATAATGGGCCAACATGAAACTAAAGCAGATAAACTGCAGGATTACTTAAAATTTCTCCATGCCCTCCTAAAAACTTCAAGAGTGAAAATTTCTAAGAAAGGTTTTGCTCAACTTCACAAATGTATTAAAAAACATTGTTACTGGTTGCCCCCACAAGGAACCCTCAGACAAGCTGATTGGAGCAATGTATTAAGAGATTTCAAAAAGCCTCAGACAGGAAATGTTATCCCTCTTCCTATTTGGGTGGATCAGTGGCCCCTCAATAAAGAAAAACTGGCAGCGTTACACACATTAGTTCAAGAACAGCTTCAGTTGAATAGATTAGAATTCTCCACGAGCCCGTGGAATTCCCCTGTATTTGTTACAAAAAAGAAGTCTGGAAAATGGAGACTCTTATATGGCTTAAGACAAATTAATGCAGTTCTTAAATCTACAGGACCTTTACAACAAGGCCTCCCTTCTCCGGCTGTGGTTCCAAAAGACTGGGACATGGCTACCATTGATCTTAAAGATTGTTATTTTTTTAACAATTCCTTTAGCTTTGGCAGATAGGGAAAAGTTTGCTTTTACTGTACCCTCCTTAAATGTACAAGCTCCTTCAAAAAGATTCCAATGGAAAGTACTTCCTCAAGGAATGTTGAACAGTCCTACAATTTGTCAAAATTATGTGCACAGGGCTCTCTTGTCACGCCAGGAGCTCTGTCTGTCCTCTCCCTTTATCTCTAAATAAAAGCCTCTGCCTTGCTCTCCTACCTTGGGTGATTGCTAAGTTCATTCTTCAACTCTGCAAACAAGAACCCCAGCATCATCTTTGGGGGCTCGTCCAGGATAACTTCGGAGGTGAGTATCGGCATCCAAGCCTGCCTTTTCTTTCACTGTCCTTTTGGAAGGGAGCCATCTATGGCACACAACGTCGGGCTCTCATCAGCCACTTAAATGGGACTAGCCCGGCTGCCATTCTCAAAGTCTCGAGCAACAGGTACCCTGCGTGTCCCTCAGTGGATCCCCCACCTCCCTTGGGAGCCGGGAACATCACCTGAGTGGAGGCCAGGATTCCCTTTCAGAGGCATCTCCTTGGATGCGAGGGACTGAGGAAGGCCGTGGGCACCTGTGAGAGTCTAGGCTGAGGCCACACTTCAGCGGCTTCTCAAAGGGCCGCATGTCTGGAATCAGACCCCGACAGCCCGACTGGGTGTCCATGAGGAGTGACTCTCTCTGTCTCTCTGGCTTCCAGCCTGCTTCTTCAGGCCACCCTGGCCTCCAAGTGAGGCAGGTGACGTTCCTGTCTTCTAACTTCATCAGTTTCACAGACCTGATGCCCAACACCGCAAGGTAGGAGATCCACGCTCTGCTCTTATTCCTGACTAAATGCTGACTCTGTATCTCATACAACGTGTCTGGGCACCCGTTAGCCACTTAAAAGACGATTAGCATCTGCTACCAGCCTTAAGTCTCATTAGAAAGGCTTGGCCCCTGAGACAACTATACAATATAATAAGGTTATGCAGCTAAATATATTTTGGTGCAAAGAAGGGAAATGGTAAAAAAAAATCCCGTAGACTACAATATGGAACTAATTTTCTAAATTTTTTTGGTCAAAATCTATTCTACTTATTGGGTTCATCATGATCTTCATAAATAGGGAAGTTTTTAAACTAGACTCCCTGAAATGGAAGAAATTTATCTTCTGCAATTCAGCTTGGCTTTAAATAACTGGTGCTAGAATTGTACTTGCATTTCATTTCCAGCCCCCTGGACACACACAGTCCCTATCAGGACAGAGCCTTCATTGGCCCTGTTCATCTGGGGCCGTTTAAACCTTTACCCAGTTACGTAAACTGCTCACCCGTAGAGTGTATTCTTGAAAATGGAGTCACTTTTCATCAAATAAGCTAAAAAGAAAGAAGGCAATTGAGTATCAGTAACTCAAATCTTTGTATCAGTTTATCTGTCTGTATTTATGTTCTTTTATGAAAAGTGTTGCTAACTGTAGTCATTATGTCTCACTGTTTGTGTGTTTAAGTGTGTAAATGAAAAATATTTTTCTACCTCCAGATGGTA